TATCAAGTTACGAGGTTGAATGTCTATAGCATAACCAGCATCTACGTCAATGGAAAATTCAAAAATTGCGTGTGACGGTTTGCTGTTATAGAATGAACCTGTTGTAATATTACAGTCAATGTGTACAGTAATCACTTTAACTATTTTCACTGGTAGATCGGACGAATGAAGAATACCGGTATCTAGTACTTTTTTTGAAAATCCAAGGATTCTTCCAATACTATCTTCGTGCTTGAAATCTATAACGTATTGATTACTAAACAATTCGCACTTGAGAGTATTATTGTTCGGTTTGAGTGAAAACGGTGGTATTTTTTCCAGTGTTTCTGTATGAGTATTGAGATACTGTTCGATGTCACCTATTTCGTATACACCTGTTGGAATTGTTATTGTTTTCACTTTGTTGTCTTTCTTGTTATGGAAATAAAATTTATTGGCACCTTCTTCTATGTTTGGGATTGTGTTGTATGAATGAAAGCCAATCAAAGCAATTCCGTAAAGTGAATGAGGTTCGAGTTCAATTGGATTGATAAAATCAATGGATAGTACTGAAGAGCGACTTCTCAGAGTGATTAACTGTGACATAATGATACAAAGGTTGTTGAATCATTGAGTTTTATATAAAAATTCTAAACACAAATGTCCGCAATTGAACTGATCAAATGTTTGGTAAGGTTGATGATTATAAAGTATTTTCACACCATTACCAAGGTATCGAATTAGCTCAAGAGGAGGTTTTAAATTTCCAAAACTATCAAAATAATTAACTACTTTACCTATCTTCCTGTATGCTACCCAATGAGTACCAGCATTAGCACTAAGATCTAGATTGATAATTGCACACTCGTTATTTTTTGGTTTCGTGCTCGGTAGGGTATCCCTCATATATACATTTTTAAAATGCTTTATGTTGAGCAGTTTCGCGTATCTCAAAATATCATGATCGGAAAGCGCTCTATTGGGTAGCTTTACTGGTAGTTTTTTGATTTCTGTTTTTTGACGTATAAACCACTTCCAGATGATTGTTTTTCCAGGAATAAACCCATACCACCATGCTTATTTTTATGTAGATACAAGCCAGATCCTCGTTTACCTAGTGCAATAGCTTCGATTGTTCTGTTATGTCGCTCTGCTTCTGCCAATTGTTTTTTGGCGTTCTTAACGTCGATAGCAGTTTTTGCAACCGCAGCAGCTCCACCTGTAAGTGAACCCAATGCCCCTAATGCTCCCAGTATAGGTAGAATTGGTAAAATGCCACCTGTCTTTGGTATCGGTATAATTCTAGGAATATTTACTTTTCGTCGCCCACCGGCACGTTTAATAGCTACGCGGGCTGCGCGTAACGCAGTCAGTGCAGATTTATTCAAATCCGCTTCATTGTCACTATGAGGTAGCTTTATTTTTTTCAATATATCTCGGTAAAAGGAAATGGACTTGAGTTTTTTTATTCCATTTTTCTTAGTTGCGCCCGAATCCATACCTACGTTACGTTTAATCTTCATTGCTTTCACTGTAGGTTAGATAACAATTTGTTGAGACTGCTCTATAACGTTTTATAGGTGTTGATGGTGTGAGATCAAACCAATTAATAAGGTTAATGTTTAGTGATCTCTACTATATATATATATATATATATATATCCGTCTACAACCATTCACTCATTGTCAAGATGCGTCTCGTTAAACAACAAATCTTATTACCCACACAAAATTTAGATTATTGCACCGTTACACCTGTACCCTTAAAATTCAAACGCAGTAAGTTGCTACCTAATAATATTCGTTGCGCAGTTTGCGGGGGAAGTGGTTCTGGAAAGACCAATGCTGTATTATCACTTTTATTTCATCCAAACGGTTTGAAATTCAAAAATGTATACATTTACTCCAAATCCTTATATCAACCAAAATATCAGCTACTTAGAAGTGTTCTTGAGAAAGTTAAAGGCATACAATATTTTCCATTTAGTGACAATGAAACAGAAATAGTTGATCCATCGTGCGCTAATGAACATTCAATTTTTGTATTTGATGACGTTGCAACTACGAAACAGGATAAGATCAGAGATTATTTTTCCATGGGACGACATAAAAATATTGATTGTTTTTACTTATGTCAAACATACTCGAAGATTCCCAAGCAGTTGATAAGAGATAACTGTAACATGGTCATTTTGTTCAAACAGGACGATGTAAATTTGAGACATGTGTATAATGAACATGTTACAGTTGACATGGACTTTGATAAATTTAAAAATCTGTGTGCAGAGTGTTGGAAAGATCAATATGGTAGTATGGTAATTGTGAAAGATTTTGATATTAATAAAGGACGGTATCGTAAAGGATTTGATATGTATATAAGTTTGTAATGCTACCAGAAATCAACCATTTCTGAACATGCCTCCTAAACATATAGATCAAGGAGAGCTACGTAAAAGAAAAATTATACAACTTGCACGGGCAATAAGAAAAAAGTATTTAGCATTGAAACTGGGTAGAAGTGAAGAAGATACGGTATTGGAACGTGTATTTAAGCCGATTGTTGAACCACTGAGACTTTTAACCAACGAAAATGACTTAACAGGTGCTGATAATATAAAACTTAAGAAGCAACTTAAAAAATTAGACAAAGAAGAAAAAATACCCATGCCTCCACCACCATTTATTCCAGAAGAAGATATTGCAAGTACCTATATCAAAGGTTCTGAAAACGAACATGTTAATGATTATGATGATGTATTTGTGAATCAGTCTAATGATTCCATTGACCATTCACAGATACAAGGTGTAAGAGATGAAGTAATTAATGAATACATTGATCAGTATCCAGAGATAGCCCAAAAATATGTAACTGAACATTGGTTAGATGACCAAAAGATTGATAAAAATTATGGTCCTGTGTATGATGCATCGAACTCATCTTGGTTATTAGGTAAGAAACGCATTGATTTCAATCAACGCACTGGGCACATTATAATTGATGGTAATCAATTTCCGGGTACACCAGGTTTATATCAACTAATTTTCTATAAGGATCCATCATATAACGATGAGGACCGTGCTATGTATAAACATATGCTGGCATTAAGCGAAGTACATAAAACTGCATCAGGACGTCTTAAAGGATCCAACATGTACAAATACAAAGAAATTATCAGACCTATGTTCTATAAACAACGATTAGATGCTACCACAAGTGTTTCAGGACTTGGTTTACCAAGAAATATGACTTATAATAATAAAAAAGTAGAGTATGTGTACTGGGATAATTTGAATGAGCTAGTTGATAGGTTGAGATTACTTATAGCTGCACAAAACGCTGGCAATAATTCAGTAAACAATGAAATACTGTCTATCATTGAAGAGCTTCAAGAAGCAGGAGTTATAGTTAAATAAGAAGTAAATACATATGTTGTATATGAATCTTGAACATAACCGATATGACCGTTGACAAGTTTGGACGTGTAGCTGCACCAGAAAGGCGCCCTCTACAACAGTCTTTTCAATCTACGCGACATGGTTTGCTTATGACTAGTGATGGTAATATAGATGTTGAAAACTTGAAATTATGTAACGTTAAAGACCCCACTGACATTGGAGATGCAACTAATAAAAAATATATTGATAATCAGGTAACTACTTTAAATAAACTTCGCTTAGAGCTAAGTGAAGCCATTTCACAAGAATTAATAAAACTGGAAGGTTATCAAAAGAATGTTCACGAAACCTCAGTCAATTTAAATAAAAAAGTGACAGATATAGAATCAAATCTACAGAAACTGTTGAACTATCACATAGACACATCAGCATACATAGATAAGAAGTTTACTGAAGTTTCTACACAAATTTCAGAAATTCAAGGAAAACTTACTAAATTGAAAACTAAATACGACATAATAGAAAAAAAATATAATCAACAATCAAATAGCGTAGTATAAGACCGCATTTGTATCGAATAATTAAAGTAATTAACTAATAGTCACCATGAAAGCTACTCATTCTACAGAAAAAATTCAGCTTGCGAACGAACTACACACGCCTATTCGAAAAAAGTTCAAAACACGAAGAACAATAATACGAGGGTTAGATGATTTATGGCAAACAGATCTCATTGAGATGCAACCTTATGCAAAACAAAATCAAGGATATCGTTATATTCTAATAGTAATTGATTGTTTTTCTAAACTTGTATGGGCTAGACCACTTAAGAATAAAACTGGAGAAGAAGTAAGTAAAGCATTTGAAGATATTCTCAAAAACAACGGAAATAGAGTACCTAAAAATATACAAAGTGATCATGGAAAAGAATACTATAACAAACATTTTAGTTTTATTTTAAAAAAATATAATATAAACCATTACAGCACCTTCCGTACAAAAAAGGCAGCCATTGCAGAACGATTAATACGAACTTTGAAAGAAAAAATATTTAAGCATTTTACTCTTAATGGATCATATCGATGGTATGATATTTTATTTGACTTAGTTGATATGTATAATAATCATAAGCATCGTACAATTGGTTTAAGGCCATCTGAAGTTAATAAAACTAATGAAAATGATATTTTGAATAATGTGTACAGTCATATCAAAATGGCTGGAAATAGAAAATTGAAAGTTGGAAACTTGGTTAGAATCTCCAAAGAAAAGCATTTGTTTAATAAAGGATATTTGCCGAATTGGACAACTGAGGTATTTAAAATATCAAAAGTTCAAATAACTAATCCTACAACGTATTTGCTGGAAGATTTACGTGGAAATCCGATTTCGGGGGGATTTTACAATGAGGAATTACAAAAAACATCCATTCCAGATGTTTATTTCGTTGAGAAGGTATTAAGAAAGAAAAATAATAAAGTTTACGTGAAATGGCTTGGCTTTGATAGTTCTCATAACAGTTGGATAAACTCATCTAATCGTTTATAATATTTAAAAATTGTGGTGGGGAGATAGATTGATATATAGTAGTGTTATCATTTGCTCTTCCCGTCAATATTCAGAAAGATGTTCTGCCGTAAAGACATAGAAGATGAAGAATCAGATAGTGAAAACTATCAATCAGAAATTGAGAATTACTGCAAGGATATTGATTCGTACTATTGGACTGAAATAGAAAAAATAAACAAGGAGTGCAAACACCAAATTCTTCAAGAAAAAACACCTTACTTATTGGGTACAGATTATGTAACTGCTGATTGTAGTCCGTTAAGTATCCATTGTGGCTTGAGTATTGCAAGGTGTTTCGAACCATCAGTAAAATTGATGAAAAAATCAGAAATAGGAACTCAAATCACATTCAGTGCTGACGAATGGGAACTTTTTATTTTCGCCTTACGATGTTTGGACATCAGTTATTTATCGGACAATGAAGTACCATGCATTACAACATCCAAAGAAGAGGACATTAAACATATTGAATGTGATGAAGATGTGAAAATATGCAAAACGTCAACTTTAGATTGTAAAATTTTAAAAGTTTACACAAGTAGGGCCTGCTTTTATCTATCACATAATGTGATAAATGATATACTCCATATTGATGAAAATATTATCAAATATAAAGTAGGTGCTTTATATAAAATGAACTTCCAACAATTTTATCAAAACTTTTTAGAGATTGTTTGTAACGTAGTACTACAAACTCAGGAAAGAAATTATGAACTTGTAATAAGATCCTTTTGTGACGTATGTAATGATAACATAGAAAGTTATTGTGTACGAGAATGCTTACTGTACTATAAAAATAAGCTCTTAAGTGATTTAGCTAGTAAATTATCTGTGTATGAAGCAGCTTTGATTAAATAAACGGTTTTGTAAGAAAATTTTATTTGTTTTTATTATAGGAAGGGGTAAGGAAACATACAGACATATTGCAAAACGTATTTTTATTTTCGTTACATATATTTTATGATACAGTCAATGTTTAGCAGTATATGCAAGCACATTTACATACATTCTTAAAAGTCAATGTCGGAATCATCGTTACCAGAATCTACAAATCTCGTAACATATGGGTGATGATTATTATAATGATCGAGTTATGTAGGTCATTTACACAAGTATATTCGTCTTTCAAACCAAACAATAGTTCCAAAAAGTCATTTTGACAGTACATATTTGTAGATCTGTATAAGCGATGAATTTCTTGAACCTGTAATGTTATATGATAATGGTCTCGAAGAACAGTAGGTCTTTTTTTATTCCAGTGGCCTAATACTACCATAAATGCGTTACAGCAACCCGAACATAATCTTAAATTATATTCTGGAATGTAACAAATGTTAACCCAAACACAATACTTTGGAAAAATATATATGTCTTCAAAATTTGCTTGACATAAAAGTGCCTTCCTATGGGTTTCACTAGGTATTTCCCTTGTATGCTCCACTGCTTGTATAATTAAAATATCTGTTAAAGGATTATCGTGTGCTTCAAGCAATATTTTTGTCCATTTAAAATTCGCATAACACTTGATAACTTCCACAGTTAGTGTCCATGGTAATGGTGACACATTAGTAAAAGTAACGATTGATTTTACACATTCTGCAACTTTTTTAAGTGATAATTCTCTAAGACTTATCATACCTAAAATAAAATTGTACATGTTACATTTCTTCGTTTGATGCTATGCTATAATGTCCCCAAGGTAAAGTATCATGACTGTTTTTGATTAAATAACGTTTATCATCGTATGGACTGAGAGCTTTTTTCAACTGCGTAATTGAAAAAATATTATGATTCTCAGATCTGATTAAATTCTGATTAAATGACTGCACTTCTAAATTTTTCAAACAGTTCAAGTAACAATCAAATGTTATTTTCGCATCAACTACAGATTTTTTGACTCCTTTGATTTTCTTAGTAACACCTATATTTGACATGATCATTTCCGCAGTATCTCCAGTACAACCACTTTCAAGCAGACTCAACCGCATATCTTCTATTTCCTTAGGCGTTGTTAATCGTTTTATAGAGTACATTTTTGATCTGAGACCAACGAATTCGGTTAACGGTATACCTTTATATTCATCCTTCATAATTCCCGGAACCTTTTTATTAACCAACGGTATGTTATACACATTATCTGTTGGATAATCGCTGGTATCAAAATATTGAAAACAATCTTGTTTGATTACGTCTATATAAAAATCTGCACATTTTACCTCATACGTCATCGAGTCTGTGTCCATATACAGGGTCTTACACGTATTTAATGAGAATTTTTTCAACATGTAATTATAGTGAAAGTCATATAAGCATACTTTGGAAATGTCCAAAATCGTCATTCCAATATATAGGGGCTTGTTGAAGAGATACATGTACTTTTTTCAAAACTAAGCCATGTGCTAAAGCTTGTTTTAAATTTCTATAATGAATTATGTAATTTGTTTTATCGTAGAGAGTTGTCATTAATTTTGATAATTTTGAACCTGGTGGTACTCGATGCTCTGGACATAGCGGAAAATCTTTATGTTCATCGTGCAAATACTTTGGATACTCAAGGTCTACTTCGAGTATGTAACCAATATCTGCATCATCTGCAGTATCATGTACATTCAACGTATCAACATTTTCCACCCAAGCAAACCCTGCATAAGGAAGATACTGAGTCATAGCAAATGCGTATAATGCATTAACATCCAAATAAATGATAAACGTTGATGGTGCAGAGCTATCATAATCCGGTAGATATTTGTTATTAGCCTTTGAATACCTATTACAACATTGAGAGATTCCTCCGCGTATGCCACGTTCTACAAATAATAGCATATCAACATCTTTTAAAATTTCAATCTTACATCCGGTATAGCGTAGCATACAATCAAATGTATAACCTGGTAGGGTATAATACCATGCAGGATCTAAACCGTGCGTCCTATGAGCAGTTTGTCTAAAATTTTCAAAAACGTCTGCTAATAAAATAATGTCTGTTTTCAAATAAAGATCACTATATTGTCCGATGTTCTGAATTTCGAAATTGGTCCACACATCTTTAGCACGTTGGTACTCGTTATTGCTAACGTTTGTGTCATTTAGTCTATTGTAAAATAGTTCATGTATAGGTAGTTCTGTTTCATTCAACTTTTGCCATGAGTCAACATAATCGTATGGAAATACACCTTTTTTTGTTAGCAACTCAAACTTTTCATCGTTCAAGTGTCCAAACTCTTTTTTTAATATGTGTAAAGCTCCGATATCTAACAAATTAACAAGTTTATCCAAAGATGCAGCCAAAAATCTAAAGGAATCTATGAAACGGAACGCAATATCGGATACATTGTTTCGGATAGTGAATGAAATATATTTTTGCTTATTTAATGGAAGCAAAACAACTCGATTAGATTTTACAATGTCCTTAATTATAAAATGAGAATCATAACCGCTCAAATTATGAAGCACAACTGGAACTATGAATGAGTTTTTATAATTTAAATTACATTTAGAATGAGCAAATCCCCGAAAATCACCACTCAGATGACAGTGGTCCCTTACAATTTTAGAGTCAGCTTTGAATGGTTTCTTACATATATGACAATGCGAACTAACATTTTTAAAATCAACGTATGTATTCATTGGAACAACAAATTGAAGTTTTGACTGAACAAACTTTGACATTTCCTCCATTTCTTTTGAAAACCACTGTATACAATCTATACCGCGATAGGATTTATAAAATGATAATGATTCATCGTAACTGCACTTGAAATAATAACCGGCGCTGAATGCTTCATGTTTTTGATATTTGATCATATGCGACAATGTTGATTTTTTGTTAGTTTCACTGAATGGTAGTAACATTGATTCAAAGTCAGCGTAAATTATAAAAGGTACTTTCTCCGCATATCGGAAGTTCTTAAATTTTAGGATAGTGTCTTTAGGAAATGATATTATGTAATCGTTCAATTTTTGACAGTGGATTTCATGTTCATGTAGCTGCTTCTCTGTATGGAAGTATTGAAGACATCTATCACAAATCCATTTCTTACTGTGAGCCTTACTTAATTGATAGCTTACTAAACGAGCAAGATTTTTAATATACACGTAATGATAAGTAATTTCAAAATCATCATCATCTGTGCTAAAATCATCATTTTCCAATGGTAACGGTTCGAAATCATTTAATTTGGGATAATATTTGTTCTGTATCATTAACAGGTTGACATGTTTTAACAGTTTTTTTTGAGTGAGTCTTAATGGTACAATGTTATAAAAAGATTTACTCTCCTGTACAATCAACTCAGCTCCAAAAACATTAACAGAAATTTTATTCATTTCCTCGAACTTACTTATATCTATTAAGCGAACGGGCATTTCCAACCCTTCTAAGTTAAGAACTTCCGTATAACGAGGATAGGACGAGGTTCTATCAGTATGACGTTTAGCAGGATAAAGGGCACTTATTATAGACCAGGCAAAGCATGCATTATCATTATGATTTTTTATATTGATACACGCCTTTTTCCGAGCAATTTGAGTAGGTAATTTCACGTATGATGAACTTACGTTACCAAATTCCACTTTATTTATATTAATTTCTAAAGAGATAATCTTTAATAACGACCAGCCACTCAATCTTTCTTGAAATTCTGATAGCTTGTTCAAAATTTTATCAACAATGTTATCTTTGTACCATTGTTGTAAATTTGTACTTTGATCAATGATAGCATTTCTGGTATTGAAATATTTAAAATCATTGATATCTGTACCATTCGAAGACTTAATAAATTCACCACAAAAGGTCCCATTTACTTTCAACATGGACATTACGGACAATTTATTTTGTATTTGATGCTCGAATAGATTGAACGCATCAAGGAAAAAATCATGTATATCAACATGTTTTAAATTTATAATAACACCAGTATGAATTCGACTAACAAAGGTTGACTCAGTATCTTCCCATACAACCCTTTTTGGCGTACTAAATGTACCACGACCTACATGAAAGGACTCTAATAAAAATTTATATCTTTTCAAGTGTACCACACCAGTATGAACAGCTTTTCGTGTATTAACACTAATATATTTATTTTTAAGAGCTTTGTGAAAAATTATTAAATTTTCATTAATCAGTTTTATCCAGCGTTTTTTATCTGATTCAGAAGCATTTTTTTTTTCAGTAAGAGTTTCATAAGCTTTTTTAAAAATCTTAACAGTATTTTTGACTGATTCACTGAATGGTTCTGAAAGGTCCATTGAATTTCATGTAAAACAAATCAATATTACTTTACCTTGAGAATAACAATATTAGCCTATAATACAAGTGTTCTTACTTATTCGTGTAGATCCTTAAGCTTAAAATGGTGAACTTGATTATCCCCGAAAGAGCTGGGCACGCTGCCTGTATACGCAATTGCGTAACGTCCCGGAGTGAAACTTTCTAAGTTTTCGATGATCACTTCCGTCGCTCTCCCTGGTAGAAACACTACAAAATTTTGTAGCTCCACCAACGGCACCTGTCCAAAACGTCCTTGTACGATTCTTATTGAAAGTACAGTCTGGTATTGGTTAAGCGGTAGCTCGTACAGGCTCTTTTTCGGCTTACTCGTGTAGCTCGTAGCTGCAATTTCATTTATCTTGCTTAAGTCCATGTTTATCTAAAATAAATAAAAAATTGTGAATAATAGAAGTTACCAAGAAGTTAACATAAAATCAATATATTAGCATTCATCTAACTATTTGCTCTTTCAATACATCAAAAAGTATTTTACTATATATAAATACGAAAGCTCAAAACTGAAACATGTCACATGAATAAATCAAAACAAAATTAAAATACTAGCATTGTTGGAATTTATTAGATACACAATACAGACTGTACTGTTTTCAATATTCTATCAATGTTAAAAACTAAAACTTACCAGAAATTATTTCCAATCACTTCACATGCACTTTACAAGCCTGTATGTAAATAAGCTGCAACTGCATCTATTGCTAATCATTAACTGTATGCACCGCATTTGAGCAATTCCATTTTATATGCGCACTGAAAATGACGTGTTGACTATTGAGATCATCATAGATGCATTGTTCTGCGAATTTCATAATGCATCTATAATTACTATTATTCATCGGGTTTTACCAATCTATATGCAATAATTTACCACAAAACGTGAGTATCGTTTGGTTTGTTTTTTATTAGAAGGAAGAGATGCATAAGCCATCTGACACATCTCACGTTTTATGGTAAATTATTGCATATAGATTGGTAAAAAACCGATGAGTAATAGTAATTATAGATGCAATAATTTACCACAAAACGTGAGATGAGTCAGATGGCTTATGCATAGGCTTGTTTTCCTATATATTCTTCAGAAAAATATAGCCCAGTAGTTTTCAGTTGAAGAATTTATCACTATGTATCTCTTCCTTCTAAAAAAAAAAAAAAAAAAAACAAACCAAACGATACTCACTATTCAAATTATATATATATAGTTGTAGCTTGATTATTTTCATTATTTGTTATAATGTCACAGTACGGTACAGCATACTGCCTAAAATGTCAAAAACACTTCTGCTTTTGTCCAGAGTCCATCAATTATCACATACTTTCAGAAGAAGAAGAAGACAACTCTCTGATTTGCTCCGAATCAATAGAATCTACTCCATCTCCGGAGGCACCTGCATCAACGGCACCCGGACCATCCACCACCACCACCACCACCACCACCACCACCAAAAACATACAACAAAAACAAAGTTACCATTGCAATAAAAGGGAAAAAGCGTCAGCCCTACCAAACCAACCAACAAAAAACATAACTATACAGGTACATTATAATGACAAAGGGGAATTATTATATAAAACAATTAAATTCAAAACAACGTGTAACTGTGAGAAAAACAAATAAAGATAGATAAACTCCTTTTACAGCGTATCGTTTATTCTCTGCTATCTACACCCCCTCACCTACCCTACCCTACCCCCAGTAGTACGCTCGCCAGAACGAGCCCCATGCGCACGCGCGCGCGCGACTAAGGGGGATGGTGGCAAAAAGGCGTTGAAAAACGACGGGGGTTTTTTTTTTTGTAATTTGGTCTAGAGTGACTGGTCTAGAACGTACTTTGGTCCAGAACGTGTAGTGGTCGAGAACGCCTATAAGTTTTACGGTACAATTTCACATGCTATTTTAGGTGGTCCAGAACGCCTATATACAGGGTGGCCAAACACGTGACGTCATAAAAAAAAAATTAGATTCCCCACATCGAGAGGAACCCAAATCACCCCCATATATATGGTCCGATTTTGTTTAGTTTAGGAGTTATGATTTTTTTTCGGATTTTTCGAGAATTTTTGAGTTCTGTGTTTATTTTTACCATAACTTCGTTAATAATTGTGATAAATGCCTGCTTTTTTCACGATTATGTAGCTAAGACCTAAGGCTTAACTATCATATAATCATTCAAGTCATGTAACTAATACTACTTTTTAATTTTTTCAAAATCTTCGAACATAACAAAAAAGTAAAAAAGTGCAACAACTTTGAACGTTTATAAAAAATTGAAAAAACATGTTCTTACTATTCGTAAGTATCTTAAAAACTTCCTTACGGTATCAGCTATTTACCGTAAAAATTTCATCAACCTAGCTTTACTACATGCTACCGTAATTGTGGCTCAAATAGAACCGAACCCAAAATTGGATAACCCTCTGCTCAATAGAAATTGTTAGTTTCGGAAAAAAAAATTGCAAAAACCACAAAAACACGTTTGATTTTTACTGAACAGCAGATTATTATTCATTTTTGTTATTTACAAGAGGTTTTCAAAATGTCTGCCTCTAACAGAAATGCACAGTGTACACCTACGTATGAAATTTTGTTTTAAATCTCTAAATGCTTGTGTGTTGTTTTTCAACACATGTGTCGCTTCTTGAATTTTGTTCCTCAATGAATTTTCATTTGCACATTCTTGGGCGAATGTTATGTCTTTAAAATATCCTCAAACAAAAAAATCAATGGGTTGAGGTCAGGGGAGCGTGGAGGCCATCGTATCGGTCCGTTTCGTCCGATCCATCTGTCTGGGAACCTTTCGTTTAAGTAGTTTCGCACGATCGTTGCGTTGTGGCATGGTGCACCATCATTCTGGAACACCATGTTCCGTCTGGCTTCCAGGCTTGAATCTTCCAGCAATAATGGTAGGCTATTTTCAAGGAAGCTTTTGTAGGCTACCGAATCCAACCTTGACGGTAGTTCAAATGGACCGATAAATTCCATATTGAATATTCCTGACCACATGTTCACACTAAAACGGTGTTGAAATGTCGACGGCCTTGACTGGTGGGGGTTTTCAACAGCCCAAGTATGTAAATTATGGATATTGAATATCCCTGTTCTTTCAAAACGTGACTCGTCAGTCCATAAAATTTTATCAAAAAAATCGGGATCCTCTCGTTGTCTTCGCAGCATTGTCTCGCAGAAATCCACTCTTAACTGGTAATCTGAAGGCATCAACGCTTGAACTCTTTGAACATGATAGGCATGATAACCTTCTTCATGAAGAATATTTTGTATCGATGTTCGTGGTATTCTAAGGTTTTGTGCCATAGATCTCGTACTCGTTGAGGGATTCCGGCTAATTTCTTCAAGTACTACTTCTCTGCGATCCGGATCAGCTGTAGGATATCCTTCATTGCTTCCTCGTCCTGCAATGCGGCCTGCCATGAAAGTGTTATGTGTGTTAATAAAAACACGGTGGTCTGGGTAATGCTCAGGTTGTGGTCCGCCTCGGCGTATAAGTTGTTCCCGGTACAGCTGAGCTGCTAAAGCGCCGTTGCCTTGTGCAACGCCATAATAATAATAATGCATTTCTGCATATTCACGCAACGTATAATGCATCACAAACTTCTTACCAAACAAAGTCCAAATCAGTATGCAAAGCAGAGAAATTAGCCGGAATCCCTCAACGAGTACGAGATCTATGGCACAAAACCTTAGAATACCACGAACATCGATACAAAATATTCTTCATGAAGAAGGTTATCATGCCTATCATGTTCAAAGAGTTCAAGCGTTGATGCCTTCAGATTACCAGTTAAGAGTGGATTTCTGCGAGACAATGCTGCGAAGACAACGAGAGGATCCCGATTTTTTTGATAAAATTTTATGGACTGACGAGTCACGTTTTGAAAGAACAGGGATATTCAATATCCATAATTTACATACTTGGGCTGTTGAAAACCCCCACCAGTCAAGGCCGTCGACATTTCAACACCGTTTTAGTGTGAACATGTGGTCAGGAATATTCAATATGGAATTTATCGGTCCATTTGAACTGCCGTCAAGGTTGGATTCGGAAGCCTACAAAAGCTTCCTTGAAAATAGCCTACCATTATTGCTGGAAGATTCAAGCGTGGAAGCCAGACGGAACATGGTGTTCCAGAATGATGATGCACCATGCCACAACGCAACGATCGTGCGAAACTACTTAAACGAAAGGTTCCCAGACCGATGGATCGGACGAAACGGACCGATACGATGGCCTCCACGCTCCCCTGACCTCAACCCCATTGATTTTTTTGTTTGGGGATATTTTAAAGACATAACATTCGCCCAAGAATGTGCAAATGAAAATTCATTGAGGAACAAAATTCAAGAAGCGACACATGTGTTGAAAAACAACACACAAGCATTTAGAGATTTAAAACAAAATTTCATACGTAGGTGTACACTGTGCATTTCTGTTAGAGGCAGACATTTTGAAAACCTCTTGTAAATAACATAAATGAATAATAATCTGCTGTTCAGTAAAAATCAAACGTGTTGTTGTGGTTTTTGCAATTTTTTTTTCCGGAACTAACAATTTCTATTGAGCAGAGGGTTATCCAATTTTGGGTTCGGTTCTATTTGAGCCACAATTACGGTAGCATGTAGTAAAGCTAGGTTGATGAAATTTTTACGGTAAATAGCTGATACCGTAAGGAAGTTTTTAAGATACTTACGAATAGTAAGAACATGTTTTTTCAATTTTTTATAAACCCTCAAAGTTGTTGCACTTTTTTACTTTTTTGTTATGTTCGAAGATTTTGAAAAAAATTAAAAAGTAGTATTAGTTACATGACTTGAATGATTATATGATAGTTAAGCCTTAGGTCTTAGCTACATAATCGTGAAAAAAGCAGGCATTTATCACAATTATTAACGAAGTTATGGTAAAAATAAACACAGAACTCAAAAATTCTCGAAAAATCCGAAAAAAAATCATAACTCCTAAACTAAACAAAATCGGACCATATATATGGGGGTGATTTGGGTTCCTCTCGATGTGGGGAATCTAATTTTTTTTTTATGACGTCACGTGTTTGGCCACCCTGTATATACTACTAAGCAGAAATATTGCTTCATATTAATAAAGTGACAAAGTATGGCAAAACGCGAGTAAAATATAGGACCTTGGGAATCTGTTATTGTGATTTTTAAACGGTTACCTTGGCACTTGATATTATATGTTGATATCTATTAATTTGATTGTGATATAGTTGGGAATAAACATTATATGTAACTGCAGTAAGGTTAGTTAGATAGGTAAAGAGCTGGAACCGTAAGACCATTAGGCACATAAGATAAATAGATCAAAATGATCTTGATCGAAATAAAGAATAAGGCAAGTTATGTTGACATTTATCATGTGCACCCGTAAATGCAAGGACACTCTACACTATGCTCTACTCGCACTATATTTCTGACAGCCACACCGTCCTTACCGACGCATTGGATTTATACGAATACATGTCTTACTTTATTTAGGTAGTTTAACCTCCTATCTCTAACCTTCGTGGCCTTTTTGCCATGTACTTTAAAAAGCTTGACAGACTAGCGCCGTCTAGCGGGAACAAAATTGGACATCACTGACATTATAGGACGTGTACAGTAATATACGCATAAAAACAGTACCCATATATTTCATGCTTCAGTCTATGTACCTATATTCATCATGATGATTTGCAAAGAGATAAAGTATTTTATAGTTACAACGCTTTATGGTATAACTGATCTATAATGCATACCCTGGAAACGTATTTATTAGGGC